GGAAGAAGGGGGGGGAGAGAGGAGACTCTGGGTACTTGGATAGGCAATGGGCCCTGAAAGTTGCCCCACCTCAGCTACCCTATAAATGCGTATGTGTAAGTTGGCTGCTTTGTTTCAGATACGATGGGGTTTGATTTGTGTGTGTTTGGGAAGTAAAACCAAGGGGGTCTGGGTTTTGGACGCAAGGGTGCGGACTACCTGCTCCTTGTTGGCTGCGACCTGTCAGCATCTGGAGAAAATCTCCCCCTCAGAACCATGAGTGCAGCCCGCCTCCCCTTTCCTGCCGCGGGTCCACTTCCGACTCTAAGGGCGTCTACTTGACCCTCCCAGAGGCAAGTCAACCCCTTGGAGCTGAACGGGGAAGGGTGACTGCTCAGAGGAGTCCCGGCAGATTTGCACCTCAGCAGTTTTGGCCTTGGGGATGGTTGCACTTCTTCAAGTTCCCAAAGGGGTCTGGAGTCCCCGGCTGTCCCCTCCTCCCTCCTCTGGCGGTCTCTTACTTGGGGCCTGGATTTTGTAAAGTGGAGTTTTGAGTTGGCCTAGAAGGTGAGGTGACTCTTCAGGTGGGCTTGGAGTGATCACCACTGACCAGCTGGGGCCACGGCCCTCAGCCTGGTAGGACTGTGGACAGTCTTCCCTTTCCCTTTCTTGCCCAACCCCTGGGCAGACCGCTGGCCTTTACAAACCAATGCAAAATCTGTGCACAACCTCAAAAGGACACTTAGATTTAGACGGTACAAATCCAAATGGCTGATTTTGGGGATAAACAGAAGCCTAGAGGCTCTGGCACACACACAGGCAATCACGAAAAAACACCCAAAGCCATGGCAGGTTGCTTCCCTCCCTTTAAAGCAGGGCGGCCGGGGGGTGTCTCAGTCTCAGCCTAAGCTTGTCCTTTTAGAGGGGTGCCTTCCTTTCCCAGCCTCTACGAAGACACCTCGGCTCTCATTCCAGGCCTACATACAGCCCGGAGGTGCTGGGGAGGGAGAAAAGTGAGAAACTAGCCAACCCCCAACCCAGCAGCCCCTCGGGTAGTGGGGCCAGGAGCCCAGAGCATCCCAGAGACTCCAGAAGGGTGGGGGGGGGGCGCAGCTTTGCTACTTGTTGCCTGAGGCGCCCGCGCTGCAGATCCGAGGCTTCCCCGCAGCACAGGCAACCGAGGCCCAGGAGACAAAACGCCCCAAATGAGCTGGTCAAACATTTGTACAACTTTTCCAGCTTTTACAAAGAAGGCCTTCTCTACACAATCTACACTTGGAGATGAACTTGGGAGACAAAGCCTGGAGAGTCCATTGAAACTCACACTTTAGCTCGGCCCAGACAAAGCTCTGGCTCGCAGCAGCTTGAAGTGAACAAAGGAAGGCAACCTTTTTATAATTCAAGGAGAAAAGAAGAGAAAACAGCCCCACAAAGGGCGGCGAATAGACATTATGGGCTTGCAATGAGGGATGAATTATTCAATGAGCCCCAATGGCTGCTGCGCCAGGAAGTTTTATGGACTCTCCAGCGTGGAAAAAGTGGCCATTTCACCTACAAAATGTTCCTAGTCTTTTGGGCCGTCTAGCTGGGTCGGGCTGCCATTCAAGGGCAATTGCTACCATTTTAAAAATCAGGGTGTTTTCCCCGGCGGGAGCTGTACCGCTGAAAACACTCAGGCGCACACCTCCGAGGCTGAGGCCTAATTTAATTTGGGGTTGTCAAAGATGACGCAGCGCCAGTCTCTCCAGCGCCTCTAGCTCCTTTAACAGATGAACGCTGGAGGGCAAGAGGGGCCCAGGGAAGGGACAGTGAAGTGTAGTCTGAAGGGAAGCTTAGAAACCTCAGAAAATTCCCTCTGGTGTTTGGCCGCCAAACGACACAGGTCGCCCCGCTCGCAAAATGGAATGAATATCGATAAGGAGCTCTGGGCGCCCTGGCGGAGGAGCTGGAGGCTGGCCGAGAAGGGGCCTTTGGGTGCCCTGACCAGGCGCTGTGCTCCCTGGAGGTCCCAGCTTCCTCGTGGGCCTGGAGGGTGCAGCGGAGACTGACTTTCAGGGGAACTCCCCCAGCTTGCCCTCGCCCCTCGCCCCATCCAGGGACAGCGCAGCGCGCCGACGTGGAGCGCGCGGGCCCCGGCGCCCCGGCGCTGCGACCCTCCTTCCAGCT